CCCTAAAGTCCCGATTCGGCAAAAAATTATGGAATTTGAGTTGTAGGCATTTTTAGCTTCTTCAGATTTTCCTACAACTATTTCATCGCATAAGAACCCCCAAAAGCCTTATTTCTTCCCATACTGGACATATATTTGTCACCATTATTTCCTCATAAAATTACTATTTTACTTTTCTTTATCGGTCGTTTTCTCAAAAGTCGATTTTGCTCTGTACTTTTTTTTTACTAACTCCACCATAACATAAACGTTTTAAAATCCAATCTTCATGAAACTTTCACAGAATGAGGAGAAGATGTAATACTAAAACTATATTTGTTGAATTTTTGTTATATGAAACAGATTTTTGTTAGTGGTGTCTAGCGTCTGGAGTGTGGTTTTCACGGATTTTTGCAAACTTGAATACTACCTCAGGAAAAATTCATTAAAAAATTGTCTAATTCGTTTAGGAAATTTTTTTTATTTTTAGATCTAATGTTTGCTAATATGCATGCAAAAAACAACAACAAAAAAACAACAACAAAAAGCAATCAATTTTCATGGACGGTAAGTGCGGTATTCAATCTGTAAGAAGTGTCAACAAGATCCAATATGGCCGCCGTATCCAAGGAAACGAAACTTTTTTCTCAAATTTGATTGCGGATTTTAAGACTCCTTACTATGTTTGTTATATGCGCGAAAGATAGTAAAATTTGGTCCACTACACCTGAAGGCTATCTCGCTTATTAGTGGACCAGTTCACCAAATTGTACCATCTTTCACACATATAACAAGCATAGTAAGGGGAGTCTTGAAATCCGCGATCAAATTTGAGAAAATAGTTTCATTTCCATTGATACGGTGGCCATATTGGATTTTGTTGACATATCTTACGTACTGAATACAGCGCTTATCGTCCATGGAAATCGATTGATTTTTGGTTTGCATGTTAGCAAAAGTAAATCCAGAAAGAAAATCCATAGCGGAGTCCATAAGGCGGTTTAAAGCTCAGTTGTGACTTCCTTCTGGCAACTCCTGCAGCATTATCGGCTCCAAATGTAATATGCAGCATTCCACTGTACCCCGCCGGTGACGCCGAGAGGCGGGCCCTGTCGTCTGGGCAGCACTGGACCTCCATATGTGAGGCATCGTGGTGAAACCAGGAACTCGTCAAAATCATGGAATCGAAGAAATAGGGAATCTCCCGCTAGTTTGGCCATTTTTTTCGAATTATTATTATTATTTTTTTATTTTATTTTTTTGGCTCAGCACCTTTATGTCTGCATAACTACACGTTTCCGTGTGAATTTTAACTGAAAATCTCTGATTAAAGGAACAAAATATTAGGTACATTTTCAATTTTCAAGGACTCTC